CCAAAAATGCTAGCATATTAAATTTGTCGACAATTTAAGGCGGAGACGAACTTCAATAGAGACAGAGCAAACACGACAACGTGGATTCATTTCTATAAATTTTCATGTTTGAAATCGCGTTGTAGCTTGCCTTTGAATTACATTTACTATGCTAAAATATTAACATGTTCAAGTTCAAATTTTATTTGCAAATCGGCAAATCCTTGCCTTTGGCAATACATACAAAACATATACATACATAGATCTTGAAATATAGCACACATAACTACAAGATACATATATAAACATTTCAAATATCAGTATTCGTTTTGAAATTAACAAATAACAAAGTAGTGTTAATAATATATCATTAATTTCGTCTGTTTATCATTTGTTCCATGGTATTAGATCGTAAATCAAAAGCTTTGTCCAAGTACTTACTTATCAGTAATAATCTATGTTTATTATTAGATGACATGATATAATAAAACTTATTCAGTGTGGGAAAAGATGCATTACGAATAAAAAGTTTTCTTAATTCTGAATAAAATGGACAACAAAGCAGGAAGTGATATTCGGATTCTATCATGTTTTGAGTACAAAGTTTACATATTCTCTCACTTCTGTTTAAACCTATATATCTGCCAGTTTCAATTTCTACAACAGTACTAACAGAAAGGTGGAGACATACAACGCGATTTCAACCATGAAAATTTAAAGAAATGAATCCACGTTGTCGTGTTTTTCAAGAACTTGATAATATAGGAAAATATTTGAACTGTCGATAATATCATCTTAATCTCCATTTAACATTAACATACATTGTTGTATGATACACTGATGTCCACAGATCTTGTTAGTTGCAAGGTTAATAATCTTCCCTAAGTAACTTATAATCTGCAGCATTAGCGCCGACTAAGTAAATTTCAGCCTTTATATGTCATAAAGCGATGAACATTATTACCTCGAGAAAATAATGTCATATGCTAGCAAATGTATATCCACTTACTGAAGTTACAGCTGTAATATGCAAATGGCGTTAGGTCTTGAAATGGGAGTGAATTATGCGCTGCTAAACTTAAGATACATATGGTATTGTATGCATGTAGCTGACAGACAAAACAGATCAAGCACACATGCATGAATATAAAAAAATGAATTTCTTCATGTTAATTGCTCTATTTATAGTGCATTTTGGTCGTACTGAATCATCACATTTTGTATTGTAACTGCGTGTTGCTAAAAAGCTTTTTCGATGCACATATCGCATGAATAACTTTTCTATCTTGAGAAAATATCAGCAATGATAGTTTAACGTCTCAATTCCGACTAATAGGACGCAAGGAATAGAGGAATTGATAAAAGATTGACCTTGATTTTCTGTCAGAATGTTAGCCACTTTCATGGTATTTCTGCCATCGACGGTAGCATTTAAAATAAGTATCTGCCTACAACGGCAGCATTTTTTCTTCGACCGGACAAGATTGAACGTCTGTAAAACTTTCAAGAAAAGACTCACGGGGTAGATATTTGGCATGCGTGACCCCAATGGATGAACAGCTATATTAATAACACGAAATCCGGCCATTTAGTTAAAACTTGAGATATTTTGAACAAAAAAACAGACATTTTCACGGATTTTTCCGAAGCTATCACTTTTAACCTGCTCAAAATAGTCTAAAACAGGAAATACGAGTCCAAAATTACCTAACAGTATCTCCAGTCAATGGACAATAGTTTCATAGCAATGAAATGGGCCGTATTTGTGTAATATAATAATACCAACCAAATTTATAACCTACCTGTACCGAGCGTTAAATTTCAGCTATCTGCCATCACAGCAGTGATCTGCCATCACTGGCGCCGGTAATACGGTGTGCAGAGATACATATATTTTTTCCACCTCAGGTTCAGGGCAATACAACAATATCCGGATACAATATGATAAACAAACTTCCAGAAGCACTTTATCAGCAGATGAATAGTGTTTAATTCATGGCTAATTTACGCCATGTCGTATTTTCGCTTCTTCGCCTCAAAATGCGAAAAACACGAAAACACGAAGGTGGACTTTGTCGTCTCTTCGTGTTTTCGTTTATTCGGATTTGTGAGGCAACAAAGCGAAAAAACGACAGAAAGAGGGCGAAAATACGACACATAAAATCTGTCGTATATTCGCATTTCATCTGTCGTCTCTTTGCAATTTCGCATTGTTACATTTTCGCATTGTTGCATTTTCGCATTGTTACATTTTTGTATTGTTACATTTTCGCATTCTGGTTGTACATGCTCATGGAGACATCAGTTAATTATTATTATTATTATTATTATTAAGTTTTGTAATACATATATATTATTAATAGAAAGTCATGTATAAGATATAGTGCATTCACGTAGATGTATAATTTAAAAGTATCATCCCGCTCCTTACACTTGTAAAATGATATAACGGTGAGGCTTTCAGACTGTTTTGAATCAATTAATGCTAACATTATTATAATAAATACATTAATGTGTTCCCACCATCTTTAGAATATAAGTTGTTTTTTTTTTTTTTCAATATTTTTTTACCGCTGACGGGTGTGACATGTGGATTAACGATAAAGGCACTGCCTGCACACATCTTACACTTAGATTGAGGTGAATTTTCGCTGGAAAACATTTTATAATGTCTGTTAATTTTAGTTCCAGTGTGTATGTTGGATAAAATTTGATTCAAAAGTTTGATGGTTTAATTTAATAAAAAAAAACACATATAAAACATTTGGTTGCCATAGTTCCGGTCATTCAGCCTTCTTCAGTGGCTTTATAGCATTTTAAAATTTATATAATAATAATATTTGAAATTATTTTTAATTCATTATTACATTATGCCATGTTGGCAGGCGTTCCTCAGGTCTTTAAAACAAAGCTCTCTCTGTCTGCCATCTTTCCCATATTGAACGAATATCAATAAAAGGAAAACAAATTGAATTCTTAAAACAATTTCAATAAGAATATTGCATTTAGATCATATGATATTATACTGTGCTTTACTAAACACTTTGAAATAAGAAGGGAAACAATAAACAAACGGTACAAAAATGTTATTAGCTGTAACATTCAGGTATTTTCAGATTTGATGTCTCCATGCGCATGTGCGACCGGAACACAAAAATGCGAAAATGTAACAATGTGAAAAAGCAAAAATGCAACAATGCAAAAATGTAACAAATGCGAAAATGAAACAATGCGAAAAAGCAAAAAGACAACAATGCGAAAAAGCGAAAATGCGATGCATGTTTTCGCATTTTTGTAAAGCGAAAATACGACAGATGGAATGCTATTATACAACAAATTTTATGTGTTGCATTTTCGCCCTTCTTCTGTCGCATTTTCGCTTTGTTGCCTCGAAAATCCAAGAAAAGTAAAAACACGAAAGGACTTTGACGTCCCTTCGTGTTTCCGCATTTTCGCATTTTGAGGCGAAGAAGTAAAAATACGACCTTGCGTAAATCAGCCACCATAGTTTTACGGACTCTTATTCAATTAGAGTTATTATAAATCCCTTTGTAATTAAGACGACATATACTTTTTCAATCGCATCATCTCGACACTTTCCGTCATACTTCGGATGAGAACCTCGAAACACATAGAACGGATACGGTATTTCGGCATAACTTCGCGGTGCATCGGTACCCTTTTTGCAAAATCTACAAAAACGGTAACCTCATGCACATATCATTCTCTGCTGGAAACAAGTAGGCGACATACACTAATCCAGTAAATGATCATTCTACTGAGTACTGGTGGAATGTATAGTGAATAGAATAATACCACGTAATACTAGAATGATTTAACTTTGTCTTTCTGATAAATTTTATTTATGAAAATCAAATTAGTTTTTCTTGCATCGAAGATCAAATCATTAATTCGGCAACCAGCTCCTGGCTCATGAAAAATTGTCTCTGATATTTACACTTTGAAATAAATTTCGGTCTTTTACGGAAAAAATTACAAATGCCATGTTATATTTTAATAATCTATTGAAAAGCATTCTTAATCGTATTTCATATTATATGACAAAAATAGATTCCAAGACATTGACATGGAAATTTTGCTCCCCTTAGGAATTCTTAAAGTACACCCAACATTGGTGTATAATATTCATACCCCTCAAACGAAATTTATTTTCTGAAGAAGTAGTTTAAATCTGTAAAAGTTTTAGTGGAGTAAAAATCATTTTACTATTTTTTTTTCTTTTCTAAATGTTTTGTTTGTAAAAAAATAAGGTTGTATTGCGAACGTTAAAATAGTTGGAGTATGGTAAATTTACACTAATAGTATTGCCGGCATACTTTGGATAATCTGCGCTGTGTTCCGGATAGTGTACCTTTTTTAGGAAATTCTTCCTTCAGCTTTGAAGACATTACAAACAACCCAATACGAAGTGTTTCAATATATATTTTAGAATATGACTTTATACATGTACAAACATTACCAAAGTATAGACAAATAAATGACGTCATTAATTTTATTGCTGTAAAACATTTTTATGTTGTATTTTTTCAAATGTGTATCTATTTATAAAAGCCTGTTTATAAAGAATTAAGTCCGGGAATCGAACCCGGGTCACCCGATTCACAGTCCAACGCTCTACGTACTGAGCTAACCGGATGGTAAGATGGTATCATAATTATCTTCTTATATATTATATATATGTACATATACAATTACATATTTATTTTGATCGTGTTCGGAATTGCTATAGATATAGGCAGTCCTTTTTGTAAGGCAAATTTTATTTTCTTCACTTTTAATCACATAGAAAATCGCCATATTGAGTGTCTTGCCATGCAGTACTTCATCAATTAAAATACCAAGTGTTTGTCAAAAATAGAAAAAAGGAGAGCAACTGTATTTTTAATTTCTTCATCATTTTTCTTCACACATAGAATGTTCCTTACATTTAAGAGTTCTAAGTTGCTAAATTTAACACAATTACACATTTTGCCTTTAAGAGATGTCTGATAAACGAAAATGTACAAACTACTTTGTTTTAAAGATCCTGAAACACAATTTTTTCATGGTTTTATTTTATAAATATGATGCTCAAATTAAGATTTGTCAATATTGTAAGTTCTAATAAGCTTATTTATAAAGATATTACCCAATTAAACATTTCATGTAAATAAAGGGAGGTAATTGGAAATTTATTTTCTATAAATTCTAAGTCAAATTTTCCAATAAGAAATGAATGCATGTAATTTATTGATTAAATATAATGTGCACAAATATTTGCAGTACACATTTTACATATTCTTCGATGTTTGAAAATTATTTTATTTGCATAATTATATACATATATAACTTTTGCAAGTGTGGTATACACAAAGTAACAATATCAATCACAAAACATACAGGATCTTTAACGGAAAGGTTAAATGTGATACATAGAACATTTAAACAAACAATAAAAAGAACTTAATTAACACTATAAATAAATTGCTGAAAAATTCAAAAGACATACACTAACAAAACAACAGAAACTTTGAATTCTATTAATTTTTTACAGTAATTATTAATGTATCATATCATTCGTTCAGTAGATTACGTTTGCAAATGTTGTTTTAGAAGCAACTTTATCTGAGTTTCATTTCAGTGAACTCAATGGAGGTTTCTGAACCTTTCCATGAATCCCAAATGATGCATTTCCATTTTGGCGTACATGTTGCCCTTTGAGAATACAAACCATTTAAGTGCGAGGCAAAACAATGATTGTACCACCAGGCGCCGGTCCATTCATGAGCGCAACTTCCACCATCTTTATTGTCATTATCATTATCTCTTGTAGTGAAGCTCATTTGATTATTTATTTGCGAGCTATATTTATACTCTCCAAGAGAATCTCCGGCATTTCCATTGTAACCACCCACTTCGAGTTTGTACTTCATTTCCTCCGGCAGAATTTTAAAGATGCTATACTTGGCATATGCACGATTTCCATCAAAGTCTTCAAGATCAATTCTTAGCTCGTGTTGTTTATCATCATCGGTCAGTAGATTTAAGTATTGGTTCCCAAGCCAAAACTCGCCATTCAAATCACCAAATCCAGTCTTATAGTCTTCCCAGTCTCGAAAGAAGTCCACACTTCCATCTTGACGTCGTTGGAAGACTGTCCATCCTCCATCGTCAGTATCCATGTCACAGTAGACAGACAGCAGTTTTTCTTGTTTAATAATATATATCTGGTATATACCGCTCGATTTAAATCCGTAGTTATACAGATCCAAACACGAAGTCGCCCTATTGACAAACTTTTTAATGCTATAAATTTCTTCTTCTAATCTCTTGGTCGTATTATCAATATATTCAATATCATCAAAACTCTTTTCTTGGTCTTGCTTCAGTTGTTCTGTGTTTTCCTGTATCATTTCAGTAATTGCCTTGATTTTGTCAAGTTTTTCTCCTTGAATATACTGTTTGTTTTCATATTGTTCAGTAAAGTTAACGGAACAAATCCCAATTTTTGTGAAAGCACTTTGTAACTGTTTGCTATCATTTTGATATTCTCCAGTTTTCCTTGTAAGATGTTCTATTCCTTTTAGATTGTCTGCAAGGACTTTAGAGGTCTTGTCTGTTAGAGTTCTTAGATCGATAACTTGTCGTTGTAATTCGTGTGTTTTTCGTCTTATTCGACTATTTGTCATTTTTTCCTCTTTAAAACCAATACTCAGCCGATGAATCTTTTCTTCTAATTCTTTACTAGTGTGTTCTTTTATCTGATCAGTATGTTTAGTTTCTTTCCCATCACTGTTACCCTCCATCAATTGCTGTAGCATTTCTTTCATGGAAGAAATCTCATGATACAATGAACCGAAATCATCTCTCCTAAATTTGCTTTCTGCATTTATTCTATCTTCAATGTAACTCAGTCTGTTATTTATTTGATAAAGTGTCAATCCGTATATTGAATTCACGTAAAGATAACACAGTAAGCTTTTATAAATCAACATTGTCAGTTCTGAAATATGTCCTATATAATCTTAACTTTATAAATGGTGGGTAAAGAAACTTTTCACGTCTTTATTACGCACCGTCTGTAAATAAGTGCTGTCGATTCTATCAGTTTCAGTGCGCCAGATATTCGGGCATTTAGTTTACAAGGAAAATGTAAAAAAAATAAACCGTAAAACATGTGTTTCTACTTCCATCAGAGATTTAGGTATGGTATACAGTAACGTACTGAAGTTACTTTTACACAGTTATTTTTTCCGCGACAATAATTCTAACAAAAGACAGCAAGAGATGGCATTACCAAATGGTACACGCGTTTGACTTGATATCTGTGTGGGTTCAAACCACGTCAGAGACCACCGTTGTTCCTATGAGCAAGAACACCTGAATAGAACCACCAACGTTCCTTAAGCTAGCTGGATAGCTTCCTCGCATTTTAAAATGCAAAGTCCCTGTGAACTTCAAACCACTTGTCTCTCGACTTATAATAAACAATAAGTAATAGCAAGAGGTTATCTGATTCGTACGAGGGGGCATGACCCCCCCCCCCATCCCTCTACCGAGAATAAATCATATTACCAAGTGTTCTGATGTTCTTTCTCTTATGTAATTCATAGGCAAAAAAAAAGCACTTTCCCTGTCGTCACAATATTGACCATATTTAAATATACGAGCATCTGAGTATGATTTTCTATATCATTTGTCCATTTTCCTGACGTCATAATTAGTATAATCCAGAAGAAATATTGACCAATCAACGAGCATGCTTTATCTTTATCCCCGACAGACAGTGCGGTTACTGGAGTGCAGGTAACTAATGTCTGAACTGTACATTTATGCTGACACAATGACAACTATTACACCGTGTATTATTTCATTAATAAATCTAAAAACATTTGCATTTTATTTGGGCTCATTCAGTGAATTACTGAATTTCAATTTTCCAAAACTAGATAATAAATATGTTTTAAGTCAGCTCTAGAAAGATAATGATAGCAGCCTGAAAATACAAATGTGTTTGCTTTTGTAAACACATGATTAGGGAAAACTGGAAAATAAAGTGTACACCATCGATAAATATGCAGAATGTGCAACAAGTCGATTGATAATTAAACATTTCAATTCATGCATAAGATAATGATCCAGCAGGAAATATAATCAAATGACAACCGAAAGCCATTACTAAGTCGACAATGGGAATATATATATATAATCTACCAAGTGGTAGATTTTACAGAAACTTAATTGAATGATCCTAAGATGGCCCTCTACATAAATTTATATGATAGTTTAAGTCTGACGCAAAAATATTTATATATATTGTATTATTCCGTAAATAAAATTCAATGCAGAAATCACTGGGTTTACAGTATCGCAATAATTATATCAAAATATCTGCCAAATTTCTCGGAAAAAGAAAAAACTACCAGGATATCCTGGTTAATATATGCTTACAACAGACTTCAACCTTGATTTCATATTAAGATATCATTCCTATCGTGTGAACCTGCTAAATAACACCGCATTTTATAGGAGCACAAACATATTTAAAATGTAACACGTGCAACATTTTCTTGATTTTACAAGGCAATCAACATTATACTATTCAGGACTGTTACGAACAATATTTGTTTGTAAAACTCAAAACATTTGGGTTCTTTTTTGTTTTGCATGTAAAATCAAATTATGTTTCTCTCCTGAACACTGGCTTTAGTCTACATATTACATTCGATGTTTACACTGCCAAAGACAAATGTTCTCTTAAAATGCATTGTAACATTTTAGTAATATCATAATTCTGTGAATTTCCGTACGTTACGAGACATGTTTAATTATTCAAATTATTTAAAAACATTCAACATTGATACAACTGTTCGGCGATTTCCGTCATACTTGGAATATTGGTAATAGGTGCTGAGGTGGGGCGTTCCGAATTGTGTACTATAACAAATTTACAATAATCAAGTTAATGTGTTTTAGATCCAACCTTTATTTGAGAATATAAAATTATTGTAACAACTTACTGAATTGATAAAATCGATTGCTTTAAAACATATAACATTATTTATTGCTTAAAGCATATAATTGATGTTATTTTCCGAATGTTTAGATATTTGCAAAAGCCTGTTTGTTTAGAAAACAGAAAATATAATCGACAAACTGAGCATTTTCTTTAGTTCTCAATTATGGTAAGAGGGAATCACAATTTTCTTATAGTTATTATACAGTTATGTTTTCATACATTTCAATATACTCTAACATCGTGTCCAGAATTGCTATAGATATAGCCAGTCCTTTTTTTGCGATTTTTCATCCCTTTAAATCAAATACGAGTACCACAAAGTCGCCATATTGAATGTCCTACCACAGTCTTTCATCATTTAATATAGTACTGTGTATAATCAATTAAAATTCTGTGTGTCTATATAGAAAAAGGGGAGAGCATGTGTTTCATTATTTTTCTTCACACATAGAATTTTCGCTATATCTGAGACATTTTACTTATAAGAGTTGTTTGATAAAGGTCAATTCGTTATCATTATCCGTGAATTATTTTTAGTCAGTCCCTAACATGTATTAAATATAACCATTCCATTTCAAATTGGTCCTATTTAGCGACTTATGACCTTCAATCAAAGTCCATGTACCTAAAAAATATGGTCTTATATGATAAATATGTTGTTATCAAAATCTTAAGTTACAAAACGCATTCCTTAGAAAGAAATAGCCGAATTTAACAATTCATGTACATAAATGTGTTTTTAGAAATATATTTCTGATAAATGTTTTGGATAATGTTTCAATAAAAAATATGTGTATTATTTTTAAACTTATTTATAATGTATAAAAATTGATTTATAAAAGTAACAAATTATGTTTAAAAAAATGTTGGAAGGAAACCGATATATGTATAAATAATTTCAGTTAAGTGTATATTACACCCTTAAGAACTACATATAGGATCTTTGAGGAAAATGGGGAATGAACCGTATCTTTAGCAGTAGCAGTAGTAGTAGCAGTAGTAGTAGTAGCAAAGGTAGTAGTAGTAGTAGTAGCAGTAGTAGTAGTAGTAGTAGTAGTAGTAGTAGTAGTAGTAGTAGTAGTGGTGGTAGTGGTAGTGGTAGTGGTAGTGGTAGTGGTAGTGGTGGCAAAGGGGGATACTCCGGCGTCCGTCGTCATGCGTAAACAATCGTCTTCTTCTCTGAAACTGCTGGGCAGAATTACTTCAAACTTTATCATCCTTGTGACAGTCACACTTGAATTTGCTCATATCTAGAGAACTAATTGATGGATAATCACCAAACTTTGTCTGTAGCATTGTTGGGTAGTCTTTTATCAAATTTGCTCATATTAAAGGATTGGCCCCTTTTAGGGGTCTCTAGGGCTAAAAATAGAAAACACTTTAAACGTCTTCTTCTACAGAACTAATTGATAGATGATCACCAAACTTTGTCTGTATCATTCTTGGGTAGTCTTGTATCAAGTTTGCTCATATTATTGTGATTAGCCCCTTTTAGGCTATAGCTAAAAATAGAAATACCTTTGAACGTCTATTTCTACAGAACTAATTGATGGATGATCACAAAACTTTGTCTGTAGCATTCTTGGGTAGTCTTTTATCAAGTTTGCTCATAATTTGATTGGCTCAAATTTAATATCAGAAAATATTGACAATGGATAATTTCCAACACTGAAAAGCAGTTGTTTCTGGTGAGCAACTCAGGGCCATCATGGCCCTCTTGTTATTATTATCATTTCTATTATTATTATTATTATTATTATTATTATTATTATTATTATTATTATTATTATTATAAGAGAACCCGTCAAACAATTATTATATCCGTAAGGTATCTGTAATTAGCATTACACTCAGGCCAAGTAATTTTTCATTATAGAAAGTAAAAGGTAAACATTTATTACGGAGACCATTTTTCTTTACCTTAAAGATCCTGTATGTTTTGTGATTGATATTGTTACTGTGTGTGTACCACACTTGCAAAATAATATAGCAAGTAAAACAATTTTCAAGTTCAAGTTCAAGCTTATCAAATATCTCATTATGTAACATACATAGACATGAGAACAAATTCTAATTTTCAAACATCGAAGAATATGTAAAATGTGTATTGCAAATATTTGTGCACATTAATATTTAATCAATAAATTATATGTATTCATTTCTTATTGGAAAAAAATGGAAAATAAATTTCTAATTACCTCCCTTTATTTATATGAAATGTTAACTTCGGTAATATCTTTATAAATAATGCTTATTGGAACTTACAATATTGGCAAATCTTAATATTAGTCTCATATTTATAAAATAAAACCATGAAAAAATTGTGTTACAGGATCTTTCTTCACACTTGACTATCTAGTATATGTTTAAAAAAATTTTTTTATAAAACTTTAGAGCTGCACGCCTCAAGATGAATTAAGATATTTCAAGAAAATCATACTTAAGAAAGAAAGTACTGAGATTTTAAGAAAAGTAAAAATATTCAAGATTAAAGTAACAATGTCGATGTTATGTGCGAGTTATGATCAATTTTGCAGCATTTTTCATCATATTTCTACTGTGTTAGTAACGCAGTTAAGGCCATTTTTTTGCATAGTTTGACCTCTTTTTTTTGTTGATTTATATAAGTTGTAAGTGCTTTTTGCAACATGGAAATTATTATTTTCGTTCACTTCACAATATTCTACTTTTTATGAATTTTCTCAATTTTAATGAAAATTAGCTTAAATGTTAGTTTGTAAATAGTTTGAAAATGTTAATTTGTATGTATCACATGTTGTTTTTTACCTAACATTTTTGTATGCAGTACAAAACTGCAAAAAGTTTATTTGCCGTTAAGAACAGTGATTGTTGTTTCAGCATATGTAATATTCTTCATGCTGCTATATATTATTCGACAATCTTTCATCATATTAAAGGCACGATATGCCTCTGAAATCCATATGTTTGAATTAATTCTTTAAAAATCTGAAATATATAATTGATGTTTTATTAATGGATTTAGAGTATGTGAGAAGTAAGAAGGCACTTTTTAAGGAATAATGAGCCTTTAACTGAAAAAATTCAAAAGATAAGATAATAAATCCACAGCAATAAAGCACATGTTAAACCACCTGTGGTGAATCATCGACTCCAGCAAATGTTTATGAAGCGAATCGTGATTGCCGATCTCTCTGCTACGCAATAATATGTGTAACAAGAAGTATCTTTTAAAAAGATACTCGGCCGAAGTAAAACTGGTAAACCTGCGAAATTATGTTATTTCTTAGTTTTAAATACAAAAAGAAATGAAGCATGCTTGCATAATAATGATATAATAATTATTTCTTGTAGCTAAGAAAGTATCCTTTTGTAATCATTGAAATTAAATTATAGCATATTTATATTGATGATTTTTTCAAAGAAGGACAACTTCTATTTAATGTGTCCCTTTAACTTGTTTTACGTTTGACTTTATAAATTTTGTAATCATTAACAAATTAACCTAAAAGTTAAAGAACTATATACTCATTCATGTACATTTTATTTTAGAACTATCCTTCACATTTTATTTTATAGTGGCAAAGCAATCCCTTACATTTTATCTTAGAGCTACCCTTAAAATTTTATTTTAGAAAGGGAAGAACAATCTTTTACGTTTATTTTAGAATGGTTAGGACTGTCCTTGACATTTTATTTTAGAATGACCAATGAGATTCACCAACTTCAGTTAGTAATTTTAAAATGACCAAAGAAAATTCTTCTCATGTTCAGTCATTCCCTGTTAATTTTACAGGAAGTCAAACTCATAATAGACGGACTTTGTCCGAAACAAAATTCTCGTCTCCTAGAACATTTACAAACTTCTTTGGCGGTGGTGGTGGTAGTTTTCACTCTGCATCTCGACAGAAAGTCACATTGAATTTACCAGAGCACAGTTCAGCCACCGCATAAAACTTCTTTTATCTAACAGCAAGGTTAAATATGATACACAAAACAGTTGAACAAACATCAACAATGACTAAACAGACAGACAGACATATCTTTTTTCCACCTAAGGTTCAGGACAATACAACAATATCCGGATACAATATGATAAACAAACTTCCAGAAGCACTTTATCAGCAGATGAATAGTGTTTTCATTCAACATGAAATTTAATAATAAAGATGTGTAAGGGAATCAGCACAGTTTTAATCAGATGATATTGTTTGCTAGTACATTTGTATAAACAAAATACTAAATGTTATTGACATACCATGAAAAAAGGTTAAAGTAAAAGTGTGTATCAAATTATTTTGAAATTATTTTGATGTTACTGTATGTAAAAAAATGAAGAGTAAAACAATAGTGTGTCTCCAGATACGCTAAACAACATTTAATGTACACTGATACTAACAGATACAGATAATCGTGTATGATATCATATACAGAAAACAAATATCATTAGCAAGCCATATTAAAACTTCAAGTATATCATCCGTAACATTTCAATTATACACAATAGTCGATTCGTATATGTAAACTGTATACCTAGCAAAAAAATGAATGTTTTATATGGTGTGTAACACCGCACTTTGGGGTCAAACGCACTTTGGGGTCCGACCCCAAAGTGCGTTAAACTTCGCACCGCACTTTGGGGTCAAACGCACTTTGGGGTTAAAATCGAGAAATTTAACCCAAAGTGCGTTAATATGCTACATATCAACGCACTTTGGGTTTAAGAGGTCTAAAGGTGTCATCTGAGTTCTGCTTAAATACTGAGAACTGACTTATTTTCTATCTGCGACATTGGAACATTTGAGGTGGAGTTCCAGATGGCGGTCAATATTTATGATGCTAAAGTGATAAAAGTTTCTTTAATTTTACCACTTGAAATATCTAAAAATTGTGTTCATATAACAAAATAACGGTGGCAGAAAAGTGACATTTGCATTTTTTTGTTTTTAGTTTTGTATACATATTCTATTTTAGTTTTGCATACATTTTTTTTTTCAGTTCTACATACATATTTTTTTTCAGTTTTGCATTCATACTTTATTTTTGTTTTTCGTACGTATCTTATTTTTGTTTTTCATACATATTTAAGCCAATAAAAACAGCCTTCAAATCTCATAACAACCCATAGTTGAGTACAAAACTAGCAAAGTGGTTTGGTCCCATTTCGGCCCATTTTTGGAATCGGTCCAGTCGTTTTCTGCCGGGCAAGTCTGGTTTCGGCCGACCCTTTTCTGTCCATTTTTTATATTATATACATTTTATATAATTATTTTTTTATTATTATATACTATTATATTAGTGTCTATTTGGAAAGGGCTGTTGATTGGTGATCAGTTATTATTCCATGAATATGCACCACCCAACCCCACCCTCTGAGAATTGAGAATTATGAAACTTAGGTCAATTCTTTAGCACATCCAGATAATGTGCAGAACTTATATGGCAGCTTTGACAGGTCGGGGTCACACCTTCAGGTCAAAGGATAAAGACTTTGTGTTCTATATGAGCCCTCTATTAGAAGTATAACGAAGTATTGTATTCTTTTTCTATGTTTATTTGTTAATTTTCGAAGAAAAACACGCTTTCACATATCAATCAAAACCTCTTCTTCTTTCTTTTTTCTTAATCGAACATGTTCCACAATTTTGACATTTGAACAATTCCAAAATTAATCGAATAACTTTTGAACATTCCCCTCTCCATGACAAATTGTGGTTAACAACATTTTCATAAAGTTTTCTATAATCAACGACTTTGTGACATAGGAATGACTAAAATACATAAAACAAAACGAATCGAAAATTATGTTTTACAGCAAATTACACTTACTTTTTTTACATCAATAAACTATTTCGAATTTGTAAAATGCCATAACACATTTAAAAAATCTATTCCTATTAACCGATAATTATCCTTTAAGCTTTAAAGAACTTTTCAAATAAAGAAAAATATGTTTCTTACATACCTTCACATAATATACATTACAACATACAGTTACTTTTAAAAAATAACAATTTTCTAATTACATAGATAAAATTTCTAATATTAACTTTGAAATTTATTTATGCTTTATTGTCTTATAACAAAAATAACATTACTTTAATTCAGATTATCTTTGCACTATAAATTTCTAGTCTTCTTATTGAAACAATTAAGATCATTTTTATAAATTCTAAAAAACAACATATTACAGTATAACACTTTTCTTGCAGTCATTTCTATGAAAGGAATATAACACAGAATAATACAAATTCTCAATATTTTTTATATTTAAAGTTTACTTAATCTTTTCTCAGGTCATTGTCTTTTATTAGTTAAAATAATCAAATAGTCATGTTTTTTCATTCTGTGAAGCAGATCTTCATCTCGATACCAATACTTTTTCTATTACTTTTATATTATAAAGTTAAATTAATCCATGCTCTTATATGCAGGGGGATTATTATGCCCCTTAACACAGTGCAATTCACTTTTAACGTACATGTTTATTAATATTATCTTATTAGAATAACTTTTTACATATTTCGCGTTTGCACGGGGATTATTATGCCCCTTACACAGTGCAATTAAAACAAATATATATATATATATATTTTTTTTTTTATTTTTTTTTCAGTCTTTTCACGATTCTTAATTTTAATTAACTTCTAATGTTTCGTCTGCAGCTTCTATTAAACACAAACGCGTAATTGGTCTTCTATAGATGTTTTTCCCCATTCGGACATCTACTACTCGTACATGTTTATCAGTACCTGGATGTAAAGCGACAATTCTTCCAAGTGACCATTCTCCACGGGATTTATCAGCATCAATCACCAGAACTACATCATTCACTTTCAAGTCACGTGTTTCCTGGTGCCATTTCTTTCTATTACTAAGGGTTGGAATGAATTCTCTCAACCATCTGTGCCAAAAATGTTTGACTATCTCTTGCACATATCGCCAACGTTTTTTTTACATTGAAAACTGTGCTATCAACTGCTTCCGGTGCGAACTGTCCTCCTATTTGTCCGTGAATGAAATGGTTAGGGGTCAAAACAGTGTCATCTTTTGGATGTGACGTTTGATATGATATTGGACGACTGTTTATTAGTCCTTCAGCTCCAGTAATTGCTGTAGAAGTTCTTTTCATCAGTGATATCAGCACTGTTTAGCACTGCATAGATAGCTCTTTTTGCACTTTTAACCATACTTTCATGAACTCCACCAAAGTGTGGCGCTAGAGGCGGATTGAAGTGCCACTTAATTCTGTGATTATTTGCTTTTTCAGTAATTTTTTGTTTGTCCATCTGCTCGTATAACTCTAACAACTCATTATAAGCACCTACAAAGTTCGTGCCATTATCCGAATACATTTCTTCTGGAAAGCCTCGTCTACTGGACATTCTATAGAAAGCATTTAAAAATGAGTCTGTATCTAATCCAAAAGCTATCTTCAAATGCACTGCCCTCGAAGACAGACATGTGAATAAACACAAGTATCGCTTTTGTCTTACTTTTCCACCGTCCTTGTTTGGTTAAAAAATGGTCCGGCAAAATCTACAGAGCTATTAGCGAAAAGCTCTCCCATTGATTTCTTCAATCTAATCTTGTGGCAATGGAGCATTACCTTTTCAATACCTTTTGCTTTAAGCTTCTTGCATTTGCTACATTTTCTCCCAAATCCTCTTATTTCTTCACGACCACCCATAACAGTATCTTGAAGACATTGGTGCTAGGTGTTTGATTCTGTACGTAAGGATTCCCCTGCTTCATGGAAGCTCTTTACTAAAAGTCTGGTTACTTGGACTTTTACGAGGAATATGATTGGATACCTCCACATTATGTGTTAATCATTGTATCACATCTCATAAGATCTTGCTGCATCAATTTTCAATCAAAAGGAATTAGTTTACTGCTTCTCGGCATTGGTGTGTCCTTTCACTATACACGAGTATTCTTCTGGATAGTGTTTTACTTGTGTTTTATGTATAAACATGTTTTCTACTTCTTGTAATTCTTTCAATGTCAATACTCTGCTTTTGTTTCTATCATTTGTTTTCCTACAGTTATCTGTAAACCTTTTGACCCATGCTGTAACTCTAAGAAGACGTAACCAATCAGAGAATCTTTCTGGATCCAAACGATCTTCTGTTGTAACATTACTAATAAAGGATGTTTCGGAGCTTTCATTCAGTTGACTCTTTTTCTTGAACTCATTTTCTGTTACATCACTTTTGTCAATAGAACTGACAGGCCAATGTGTTTCATCTTCATGTAAGAACTGTGGACCGTTCCACCACAAAGTATTTTGTATGAGATCTTTAGCAGTTGTTCCCCTTGAAGCTACATCTGCTGGGTTATTGGTACTTGAAATATGCCGCCACTGATTAGGCACACTATGGGTATGTATTTCTCCAATTCTATGTGCCACGAAAGGCTTGAATCTTCTGCTTTCATTGCTGATCCAATGAATAACATTCGCACTATCTGTCCAAAATGTAACTTTTTTCATACTCATAACAATTGCTTTCGTAACATTCAATACTAAACGAAGTCCCAAAACTGCCGCCATAAGTTCAAGACGAGGAATACTGACAGCAGTGAGGGGTGACACTCTGGTTTTGCTGCACACAAACTTGACACTTATATGATCATCTTCATTTTTACATCTCATATAAACAACTGTTCCAAATGCTAATTCTGAGGCATCTACAAAGACGTGCAGTGATGGATTTTTTGCCTCATCAAACGATAAACTTCGTGGTATAATAACCTTATTTAACTCAAGTAGACCATCCAGCCATTCCGTAGTTTCATCAGTCAAGTTGCTGTTCACTTTATCGTCCCAATCATATCTTTTTAACCAGAACTGCTGTAGAAGAATTTTTCCTTTAATGATGTAAGGGGAGAGAAACCCGAACGGATCGAATAAGCTTGCGACTCTTTTCAGTAAGTTTCTTTTTGTGACGGTTTGCACTGAACAGATATCTTTATTCAGTTTAAATGTAAAAACATCTTCTTCAGCTTGCCATGTTACTCCCAGTGCTTTTGTGATTGGTAAGTAACTTGTGTCCAAATTTACCTCCTTGGCCCTTTCTTTCTGTGGTATTTTTTCTAATACAGTACGCGAATTTGAAAGCCACTTTCTGGCATACATTCCAGCTTTCAGCCATAGTTCAGATAATTGTTCATACAGTTCTAACGCTGATTTTTCTGTCGGCATAGAATCCATAGAATCATCCATATAGGTCGACTTGAGAACTGTTTCAGACGCTAATGGAAATTCTTCTTTATTTAGTTTTGCGTTTGTCTGTGCGACTAATTGTGCTAGGAAAGGCGATGCGTTTACGCCAAATACTAGTGTTCTAAACTCATATTCACTAGAGTCCCATAAAAATCTATGAAACCTTCTATCTGTCTCGTGAATCCCGACTCGTAAGTACATTTCACTAATGTCACAAACCAGAGCAACGTCATATTTTCGAAATCTAAGTAACACATCAAAAAGTTCATTTTGTAGTTTAGGACCTGTTTCAATAAAATCATTCAGACATACTCCTTTGAATTTTGCCGCAGCATCAAAGACTATTCGTACTTTCGTAGTTTCTTTTTCAAGCCGTACTACTGGAAAGTGAGGTAAGTACCACTTGTTCTTGTGATCTTCTTCATTTGTGGGAACTTTACGTATGTATCCTTTATTCTCATAGTTTTCTATAGTTTCTTTGTATGCCATCTCAATCTCTGGTTCTTTACGCAATCTTTTCTCGGTATGATTTAAACGGCGCACAGCCATCTGATAGTCATTCGGAATATCTTTTGGATCCATTTTCCATGGAATTTTCACTTCATATTGACCTTTTTCATATTTCATCTCTTTTTCACTGTCTTTCAAAATATTTTGTTCCTTTTGCGTCAATGGCTCTTTCATTGTTACACCTGAATTGTCAATGTCCCAGAAACCTTTCAACATTTGATCCAGATCATCTGGTTCATTTACAAAATATGTTGATAGTAAACTTGTATTTGATCCCTTATCGAGCTGTCCCACACATGTCCATCCTAAAGGCGTCAAACGTGCCATTGGTTCTCCAGTCTTTCCATGAATCTCATGCAGAGAAGAATGTAAGACAGCATAATCCAGACCTATCAACATGTCAATTTCTTTATTCTTGTCTATGTATGGAAAATTGATCCCTTTTAAGTGCTCCCATTTATCTATGTGTTTATTCCAGTTCACTGTTTGTAACGAACCTGTTACATTATCTAACACGTATGCTTCTATGTCCGTATGTGACTGACCATTCAGACTTTCAACACTTAAATTCACTGACATTGTTTCGAAGCTTTGTACTCTATCGTTCAAAGTGTTTACTTGTACTGTTTCTATTTTTCCTTGAAGTCCGAGTTCTCCAGCAAGACTTTGATTTATGTATGTTTTTGTGCTTCCATCATCCAGTAATGCATTTATCAAGATTTTTCTAGAATTTTCTGTATACACTACCACAGGAACTGTACGTAAAGCTATTTGATTTTTTCTGGCGAAAAATCCTTGTTGTTGTTGCTGCTTTGGTTCACCAAATGTTTCTTTTCTTTTTGGAACAAATTCTTGTGCATCACTGTTTAATGATTGCTGGTGATGTAAGAGTTTATGATGATTTCTAGTACATCCATTAATACCACAAACACGAAAGTTTTTACATTCATTTCCTCGGTGGTTATCTCTTAAACACCTGAAACACAACCCTATGTCTCTTGCTTTCTGCCATCTATTCACAGTATCCATAGATTTGAATATTTCACATTCCCAGACATTATGTAAATCTGATCTACAAATTTTACAATCTTTCTTAAACTGTGGCTTATTGTCATTAAACTTCGGCTTGTTGTCAGCAAGAAAAGATCTATTACTGTTTCTTGGTCTCTCATTATTAGCTAGTCCGTGCTTTGTTTCAGAAGCTATTGCCAAGTACTTTGATTCTTGATTGATCCAATTTCTTAAAGTTTCAACAGATTCTTCTTCTGTTGTTTCATAAAGCCAACGATGAAACCTACACAACATTTTTTCTGGCAATTTTCTTTGTAATGACAAATACAATGTACCATCACCCAGATCCTCTTCACGGTTAGCTTCTTTCATATTAATTACCGCTATGTCCAGCAAGTCAGCAAACTTTTCTATTGTCTTTGGATCTTCACTTCTAATTGACTGGAATTTTTCAATATCATCCATAAAACGCATTATTTTTCGACGTTCACCACCAAACTTTCTTTCTAACCGATCCTTTGCAGCAATATATGCTTCAGCCGAATGTCCTAAATCATCTATAGCTTGTAATGCCTCACCTTTCAAATACTGACGTAATTGTAACAATTTATATTCTGGTGTTGCTGGTGCTTTATCGATGCATGCCATAAATGCAGCCTTCCAAGTTTCATATTTACGTTTATCACCATAAAAAACTGGAATACCAACACGTTTCATTTGACGCCATAGATCTTTTTCTAAATTTTTTGTTGGTTCATTGACTTTGTGCTCTGTAGTATCAATAATCTATCATACACTGTCTGTGTAGCTTCACTATATATCATATTCAACTGATCAATTTCTAAAAAATGTATGTATTCAAAACTAAAAATAATATGTACGACAAACAAACAAAAAATATGAACGAAAAACAAAAAAAAAGTATCAAAAAAAAAAATAAATACAAATGTCACTTTTATGCCGCCGTTCAAAATACCCTAGTACAGAAATTGTGCATTCCTAGAATTAAGAGATGCTGCGAAAAATATCCCGTTCTGTCGGTCATTTACTTGAAAACTTTTGGTGCCATATTGAGCCCCATTTTAAATATGTTGGGAATGAAATAAAATGCAGTTAATATTTTTTTCCCCAAAAAACTATAAATATACTATATTGCAATGTTCTGGTGAAACATCAAGTTTTTTCGATCGGACTTTAAAAAGTGATTTTTACAAAAGCATTTTATTAAGCTTATCAACAAACTTAAGGGTTTTTGTAAGCTCCGTAAAAACCGTTCGCCAGAGGCTTTTTTATGGTAAATCTTACATACTTCTTTAGAAAGAGCAAACATGAATTTTATAATGTTAAAATAATAGTATCTGAGAAATGTAAGATGCTTGTTACCTGAATAAAGTAGCGATAAACGTGAAATTATTTGTCACAAAAGAAGTCAAAACACTGTAGTATTTGACTTCCCTATAAAATACTAATTCACTATAACTGTACTCATTATTGCCAAAAAGCAACAAATGAAAAAGATGGTTCAGGTAATTGGCCAATGTGTATTTTTTGGATAATATAGAAGAACATCAAAATGAAAATGCTTTTAAGGAAAACAAATAAAAGCATAATGGGCCTTTAAAACGTTATTTTTAACCCTCGGGGGATCGATACCCCACAATACCCTCTATACTCCGAGTGAGAATTTTACATTATTCTGAAGCTCCGCTCTTAATGTGCGACTACTTAAATAGTTGATATCTTTAGTACTGCCTGTACTGACTACTACTTAAAGCCGCATTTACACCTAGTCAAGTTTCTTATATGACACATTTAGCTAAATAAACGATTATCAGACACATTTTTACTGAAATGTCTTACCTTTGTCTATGCTAAGACTATCACATTCTATAAAATGTGTAAATAAAAAACGGGAAAATAATGCATTTAATAATACAAATTCTTTATTTGGTGATTTATTTGGTGAAAGTTCTTTCACTTACTAATCAAGATCATTTAAAAACCTATTGATTCTACTATAATTCAGGGCACATGTTTGTGTCTATTTAATACCTTGATTTTTTTGTTTACCATTGACTTTGACTACAATATATTATTTAAAACATAATGAACATTAACTTTCTATGACCCCGAAGTGCGGTCGTTTGCCTGATGTTAAAAAATGCATATGTACCTGTTTAACGCACTTTGCGATTAAAATTGGACCCCAAAGAGTGTAACACACTCTGGGGTCGGACCCCAAAGTACGTAACGCACTTTGGGGTCGGACCCCAAAGTGCGTTTGACCCCAAAGTGCGGTGTTACAATGGTGGCTAATTTACGCCATGTCGTATTTTTGCTTCTTCGCCTCAAAATGCGAAAACACGAAAACACGATAGGACGACAAGGTGGACTTTGTCGTCTCTTCGTGTTTTCGTTTATTCGGATTTGTGAGGCAACAAAGCGAAAAAACGACAGAAAGAGGGCGAAAATACGACACATAAAATCTGTCGTATAATCGCGTTTCATCTGTCGTCTCGTCGCATTTTCGCATTGTTACATTTTGGCATTGTTGCATTTTCGCTTTTTCGCATTGTTACATTTTTGCATTGTTACATTTTGCATTGTTGCATTTTCGCTTTTTCGCATTGTTACATTTTCGCATTCCGATTGTACATGCGCATGGATCTGTTAATTATTATCATCATTATTATTATTAATAATATTATTATTAAATTTTGTAATATCCGAACATAATGATATATTATTTAATAGATAGTAATGTATAAGATATTTTGCATTCACGTAGATGTATAATTTAAAAGTATCATCCCACTCCTTACACTTGTAAAATGATATAACGGTGAGGCTTTCAGACTGTTTTGAATCCATTAATGCTAACATTATTATAATATATACATTAATGTGTTCCCACCATCTTTAGAATATAAGTTTTTTTTTCAATATTTTTTACCGCTGACGGGTGTGACATGTGGATTACGATAAAGGCACTGCCTGCACACATCTTAAACTTAGATTGAGGTGCATTTTCACTGGAAAACATTTTATAATGTCTGTTTATTTTAGTTCTAGTGTAGTATAACACATACTTCATTTGAATACGTAGTGTGCATGTTGGATAAAATTTTATTCAAAAGTTTGATGGTTTAATTAAATAATAAAAAAACACATATAAAACATTTGGTTGCCATAGTTCCCGGCCATTCAGCCTTCTTCAGTGGCTTTATAGCATTTTAAAATTTATATAATAATAATATTTGAAATTATTTTTATTCATTATTACATTATGCCATGTTGGCAGGCGTTCCTCAGGTCTTTAAAACAAAGCTCTCTTGGTGGTCATTCTGTCTGCCATCTTTCCCATATTGAACGAATATCAATAAAAGGAAAACAAATTGAATTCTTAAAACAATTTCAATAAGAATATTGCATTTAGATCATATGATATTATACTGTGCTTCTCTTAGTTCACGATACTAAACACTTTGAAATAAGAAGGGAAACAATAAACAAATGGTACAAAAATGTCATTAGCTGTAACATATTTAGGTATTTTCAGATTTTATGTCTCCATGCGCATGTGCGACCGGAACACAAAAATGCGAAAATGTAACAATGTGAAAAAGCAAAAATGCAACAATGCAAAAATGTAGCAAATGCGAAAATGTAACAATGCGAAAAAGCAAAAAGACAACAGCGAAAATGCGATGTGTGTTTTCGCATTTTTGTAAAGCGAAAATACGACAGATGGAATGGTAATATACAACAAATTTTATGTGTCGTATTTTCGCCCTTCTTCTGTCGCATTTTCGCTTTGTTGCCTCGAAAATCCAAGAAAAGCAAAAACACGAAAGGTTTGTCGTCCCTTCGTGTTTCTGCATTTTCGCATTTTGAGGCGAAGAAGTAAAAATACGACATGGCGTAAATCAGCCACCATAGTTTTACGTACTCTTATTCAATTAGAGTTATTATAAATCTCTTTGTAATTAAGACGACATATACTTTTTCAATCGCATCATCTCGACACTTTCCGTCATACCTCGGATGAGAACCTCGAAACACATAGAATGGATACGGTATTTCGGCATAACTTCGCGGTGCATCGGTACCCCTTTTGCAAAATCTACAAAAACGGTAACCTCATGCACATATCATTCTCTGCTGAAAACAAGTAGGCGACATACACTAATCCAGTAAATGATCATTCTACTGAGTACAGGTGGAATGTCAAGTGAAAAGAATAATACCACGTAATACTAGAATGATTTAACTTTGTCTTTCTAATGAATTTTATTTATGAAAATCAAATTAGTTTTTCTTGCATCGAAGATCAAATCATTAGTTCGGCAACCAGCTGAAATATTCTGGCTCCTTGCTCATGAAAAATTGCATCTGATACTTACACTTTGAAATAAATTTCGATCTTTTACAGAAACAATTACAAATGCCATGTTTTATTTTAATAATCTATTGAAAAGCATTCTTAATCGTATTTCCGTAACAAAAATAGATTCCAAGACATTGACATGAAAAATTTGCTCCCCTTAGGAATTCTTTAAAGTACACCCAACATTGTGTATAATATTCATACCCCTCAAACGAAATTTATTTTCTGAAGAAGTAGTTTAAATCTGTAAAAATTTTAGTGGAGTAAAAAACATTTTACTATTTTTTTTCTTTTCTTAATGTTTTGTTTGTAAAAAAATAAGGTTGTATTGCGAACGTTAAAATAGTTGGAGTATGGTAAACTTACACTAATAATATTGCCGGTGTAACATTAAATTTTGACCCTGTTGAGAAATGACCCTGAGGGTCATTTTTCAACGTTGAGAATTGACCCTGGGTCATTTCTCAACGGTCACGGGTCAATTCTCAACGTTGAATTTTGACCCACCCGTTAAATTTTGATCAGTAATGTGAAGGTGTTGAAAAATGACCCCGGGTCGTAATTCAACATTGAAAAGTGACCCCAATTTTTTTGATATTTGGAATGTAAGTTTTAAGGTTAAAGTGCATGGAGGTATGAAACGTCAAAAACGCATTAATGGGTAAACTTAAAGCCTGTTGGTGCGTCCGTCCGTTGTTTCTACAGATTGCATTACCTTTAAATCTAATTTATCGTTCTTTATGTAGGTAAAACAAACAGTTCAGCAACATTTGGAGAATATATAATAAAATCGTGCAATAAAATCGAAGTATTTAAGTTATGAGACGTCGCATGAAACAGGTCATTAATGAACGAGCGTAAATGAGTCATTTTTATTTCGCTGACATTAAATGATAACTCTATACAGACGGCAAATGTCATAATTATGTAACTGCCCCTTACTCTTATCCCATTTACGCAGCATCCTAAGTTGTGGCTTGATTTTTGTGTGTTTTGTTTTGTAGTTTAAAATTAATCTTACTTTTAATACATCGGTGAAAATTTAAGTGAAATATGTTATTTAAGGTTTGGAAAATTGAAGAAAGTATTTGGCACCCACCTTGTTTTAAGATTACCTTTACATAATGGTGTGCCCCGTCTGTCAAATGGTGCCCAGCTTATCAACTGCAGCTATTCAATGATATTTAAGCTACTTTACTCCGAGGACATCAATTCCAACCCCTATTCCTTGATATATGAATCGAGAGTCTTACTCCCCTATAAACAAACATGAATTGTCCTTCGTACGGTGTACTGTTAGGGCCATCGCGTTTTCTCTGAGGACGGAAAA